AATTTACTTATTTGTTCCTTCGATCTGATTGCACAAGTAGTTCTCGTTTATTTCCTTAATTCTGATCATACATCAAACATTCGTCGCATCCTTTTCTAGCGTTTGATTATATTTTCCATTTGATTCGTAAATACAAGGAGAGACATCTCACAATCATAAATTGAGTTGCATTTTCTCCCAATGCGATTAACTCTCCCTACTGTTCAGCAATTTTTTTAAAAGTAGTATGGTTCCATCAGTGTAATGGAATCCCAATGGCTTGAATCCAGGTTATTCTCTCTGGATGAAAGACTCTGACCATGGGTCAATTTCGTGTAAAACTTCTTTGAGATATGCCCAATTTTGCTCTTTCACAACCTCTAGCAAATCCAGATCTTCGGTTTCGATCAAGAATCTCCTTCCTCCCATGCTTTTGATACGAATATCCTAAACCTCAAGCATGTAGTCCTTCTTCCTCCACGCGACCCTTGATCCTTGTTGGATTTACCTAACATGGATTGATGGTGTCCATTTTTTTTGTAATAGATAATTTTGCTTTATCTTGATTGAAACAATTTTTCTAAATCTGATTAGTTGTAATATTTCTGACAAGTTCTTCTTATTGGAGTCCACCTGCACATTTGGTTGAAATTTTCTCCAATACGAGGATCGACCATTGAACCTGGCATATCATTGATCAAAACAAGAAACGAGGTACATTTATAAAATATATGATATATGACATAAATTCTTAATAGTATATCGACATAAATTACATCCGCTTTAGCTTAGGTAAAAGCTTAAACGTAATATGAACTTTAGCTTTAGGTGAAAACTTAAACGGAATATGAACTTTAGCTTTAGGTAAAAGCTTAAATGTAATATGAACTTTAGCTTTATGTAAAAGCTTAAACGTAATATGAATAGTTCTTATAATATATTTTGTTAGGTATAAATAAATTTGGATCAAATCCATATGATTTATGGCATAAATTCTTAATACTTCATATGAAACTTATACTAATTTTGAGATATAGTAGACTTGACCCAAAATGAGATAAAACAAAGAAAGAACACTTAACTTTCAACAAGATTGAACATAATTCTATTCATAAAACAATAGTGGTTATAATTTATTATAAAGTTAAAAAATTCATTAATATTGATGTCTAATTTCTTTATAGATGGAATGTAATTCTATTCATAAAACAATAGTGGAAGTCGTTGCTTTAACATTGACTTTTGGGGTTCTTTGGATTCACAGACTAAAATCTAGAAAGCAAATAACTCATGAATGTCATGTGAATCGAGATTGTGAAAGAGAAAACTACATCAATAGTATTTTATATACATGTGACCAGAATTGTATCGACATAATACGAATGCAACCAAATGTTTTTTTAATCTGTGTGACATCCTTACTGGGAACAATTTGTTGCAGTCGACAAGAGTGGTGAATGTTAAAGAGCAAGTTATCATATTTTTACATATAATTGGTCATAATGTAAGATTTCGAGTGATTAGATCAAGATATTATAGATCAATTGAAACAATCACCGTTACTTAGGATTGTGTTGAGAGCTATTTTGAAATTATATCAATTAGCCATTAGATGTCACTCTTTTCCTCCTTCTGCTAGTTGCCTCTTCTCAAGAGGCAACTATGAGAGAGGTTTTTAATAAAGCCTCCTTTTCCTATTAAAAAATTAGCCATTAGATTACCCGATGAGTCAACTTCTCTTGAGATAAGAAACAATTCTAAGTTTTACCCATATTTTAAAGATTGCGTCGGAGCATTAGATGGAACTCATATTCGTGCATCTGTTCCAGCTAACATTCAAGGAAGATTTCGTAATCGTAAAGGGGAGAACGACACAAAATGTATTGGATGCCATTACTTTTGATTTGAAATTTACTTATGTTCTAGCTGGTTGAGAAGGTAGTGCGCATGATTTTCGTGTTTAACTGATGCACTTACACACCGAAAAGGATTAATATTCCGGAAGGAAATACTAACTTTAAAATAAAAAATAATTAAATTAAATTCATAATATATTAAGTAATAATAACATTTTGTCAAATTGTAGGTAAATATTATCTTGCTGATGCTAGATATGGCATCCGAAATGAAATTATTTCGTCATATCGTTGTGTTATATATCATTTAAAAGAGTTCAACAATCATCATCCAGAAAATGCAAATGAATTGTTTAATCTTCGTCATTCATCATTGCGAACCACTGTTGAGCGAGTATTTGGAATTTTAAAGAAACATTTTGTGTGTTGGATGTTGAACCATTTTGGATTTTCAAACACAAGTAGATGTAGTTTTGGCTTGTACTATAATCCATAATCATATAATGGGAGTTGATCCTAATGATTTAATTAACGAAGAATTATATGAGGAACACGAGCCTCATTCGATAACATCAACTCTTACACAACGAAAAGAGAGGGAAAAAGCTAGAGAATGGGCTACTAAGAGAGATGAAATTGCACAAGCTATGTGGAGTGATTATATACATAGAACATTTAATTTATTTAGAACATTTTGTTTAATATTTCTATGTTAGTATGTTGGATATTGTTGTTTTTAGTTTGTTGGATATTGAAATTGATAATGTTTTTAGATTGTTGGACATTGAATTTAATTTGTTGGATGTTGAAATTATTATTTTTAAGTTTGTTGGTTTTATAAATGTTATGTTTTATAATTTTTGGACATTTACGTATGCTTGTGAGTTGAGTGCTTGGTGTCTTACGTATTAGGTGCTTGGTGTATATTTGGGGTTGATATTATAAATTGTTACATAATTGTTGGATAATTTATGTTTGTTAGTAGTATAATTACTTCCCTTTTTTAATGATTATTAATGTAGAAATGAGCACATCAAAACATTTTAGGTGGACAAAACCAATGGAACGTCTTTTTTCTCGAAATACTTGCAGAGGAGACGCAAATAGGTAATAAGTCATCTAATACATTTAGAGCAGTTTCTATAAATCGAGTTGCTACAGCTATTTCCGAAATATTTCAAGTCCAATGTGCCACCAAACATGTGGAAAATCATTTGAGGACTATAAAAATACATAGAAAACTATATGTACAATTCGTGAAGAAAGTAGATTAGGGTGGAACGAGAACCTGAAAATGATAACTTGCGACGAAGTGACATATGATGCTATAGTGACAGTAATCTTTAGATACTCATTTTAATAAATGATATTTGAATTTTACTTTTTATGCTAATTGTGTATAATATTTAACAGGCACACCCAAAATTTGAACCATTTTTGAACAAAAAAAAATCTTATGATAAGATGACTCTTGTTGTTGGTCAAGATATGACAACATGGAGTTTTGCTAGAACCTTTACTGATATAGAATTGGATGGTGTACTGAAGGTTCAATGTCGTTAAATTTCGACACTCAAGATATCGGTGAGGAAAAACCAAAATTATCTTCATCTGGTACATCAAACTAAAAGGAAGAATGTCCAAGAGAATGTCGAGGATGATCATATTAAATTTTAGGTGAGAAACTTGAAGATTGCTGAAGCACTAAAAAAATTTACATAAGACCATACACCATATCTTTATGAAGAAGTTATGTCAATGGAGAAAGAAGGATTTGATGACAACTTTCTTTGTGATGTGTTTGATTTTTAGCGAAAAATGAGTTGGAGGCCAAAGCTTTCTTGGAAAAAAAAACCCCAAAACATAGGAAAATTTGCTTCAATAGTTTCCTCAAAGTTAGGATGTGAACTTTTAATGTGGAGTACTATTATTTATGACTTAGACAATATTTAAGCTTTAATGTGTTGTGGTACTAATTATAGACTTCAATCATACGTTGGTTTGATGCGTTGTAGCACTACTTATGAATTAGACAATATCTTTGTATTATTATGGTTGGATAATATCGTTATCTTAATGTGGTGTAGTTTTAGTTAAACACTTTGAAAATATTATTATTTCAATGTAATGTATATTGTTGTTTAATAATGATGTAATTTTAATTATTTACTTTGATAATATATTTTTAATACATTATCAAGATTATATTAATTAAACCTACATATAATATTAATTATGAGTTAAAATTTAATTTTAAAAATGCTAATAGATAAAGTATCATGAATACTTCAAACCTAAAATTGTGTATTTATAACACAATCAACATAAATTATTATATTATCTACAAATTTAATTTCGTGTACTTATACAAATAAAACTTTTAATTTCAAAATTTTATAAAATACAATTTTATCAAAATAACTTAAAAAATTTAAAAGGTAAATAACAAGAAAAATATAAAAAAATATATACATTTTTACAAAAAAAAAAAATAGATTTCGTAAATTGTTTTCAGGAAAACTAACTAAAAAGTGTAAAACATTTTACAATGCAGCATCCAAACAATGTAAACTGTTTTTTGGAAAATGTTTTCCAGAAATATAATTCATTTTCCAGAATTCAATTTCTAAAAAGTCAATTACATCCAAACAAACAGACCCTAAGTAAAAAATCATAGCCGATGATTTGTGGTGGAATTACATATTGTTGATGTGATTTGTTTTAAAAGATTTAAGGATTGTAAGAGAAGGCTTGAGACATCGAGATAGAGATATAAAGAGAGCCTGAAAGAGAGAAATGTCCCTTCATCGGCCTTGCAGGATCATTTATGTACTAGCCTTTAATGTTGGTGTTAGACCTAAGATCACGATGATTATCTCTAAGCTGTCACTCATAAAAGATATGGCTATTAGATTATGCTAAGCAACAAACCTATAAAATTTTAGGGAAACAAAAATAGATTATCAATAGAAAATATAAAGAAAATACTTAAATTACATGAGAATTTGAAATTCTCAAGAGCCAACACCCCCGCCAAATCCCTCTCGGTCCATCTCTGGAAATCAAGCTGAAGCTAGCATAGTACTAGTGACACAGAAAAGTAGTAAAGAACCACTCCATCACAGTCTCTAAACTACCGGAATGTGCAAAGAAAAGTCCAATTTGGGACAAACCTTGTCCAAATTAGCGAGTGATAATGCATAACATCATTTCAAAGCCTCAAAGTTCCATCCAACTCTATGTATCATAAGTTCCAAGGATAAACAAAAGATACTCTAGGGTTTACAATGATCCCAAGCGTAACATCGGACAATCTATATCATATATAAACTGGCAGACCAATTAACATGGGAAGCCTCTTTACATGGTGTTGTGTATGGACTCTAAACATATATATTTAGTCTGGTACAAAAATCAGCCCGGTTCAAGACGATTCAGTTGATGGGAAGACGGGGAGCGCGTGGCCGAACTGGGGTCTTTGATGGGCTTACCCTGATCATACCCAAGAACAAAGGTTGACTTAGAACACAATCAAAATAGTTGATCGATCTTGGGAGACAAATTAAGGCAATGAAAGAAAAGAAAAGAAAAAGGAAACATCATTTTGAGAAATGATGGAAAAAAAATCAGGAATCTAACCTTATAGGCAATGATCCCAGAACCACACCGCTACAGTTGGGAGCAGCAATTGCACTTGCAGCCTGCAAATAATAAGAGAATATTACATAATCATTCACACATGAACACTGAAGCAATCCAATCTCGAAATGATTTAAAAGGAGCTACATATTATTCGCCAACTATAATAAACTCCTTTCAGAACTTGGAAAACATCTCTGATAAGCCGATGTAGGGTTCACTGAATGAAAAAGGGCACACAATCAAGATATAATTCGCAATATCACTTGGCATCCCAATCCAAACTACTTCAAATAATTCATTTGACAGCGACAAATAGATACCCTTGGAATAAGGCTCATTATAAGAAATAGAAGCACATTATATTCAAAAGGAAAGTTGTCCCAATATGCTTCCATTTGCAGATTTGGAATAAGGCTCATTATATTTCACAAAACCATTTGGAATAAGGCTCTTGGCAACATGCTAACAGATAAAATTTGATGGTAGCGATTGTTGCTATTTCTTCAAGAAACGCAAAGGTAAACTCAAGCTTCTTTTAGTTTTAGGAAAAAGGAATAGAAGCCCCAAACACCACAAGACTTCTTAAAACGTTCCCCTCTGACCTTTAAAAGAACTTTCCTAAGATAAGAAAAAAGGGACCATTTTTGGGCATTCCCCAAGAATCAACTGAATGGAACAATCTTTAGTTTCATTTCACTACCTTGCCTTCTTTTCTTGTTTTCCCTACTTCCTGCTGAAAGAAGGCCGAATTTTGTAACAAATTTTCTGTTAGAAAGGATCAGAATCCCCAATATTTAGAGCTAAAACAAACTCCATCCTCACTGTCTTGCCTAACTCATTAAGTGCTAAAAGTAAGGTCATGTAAAGAACTAAAAAGCCCTTATTTATCTCACCAAACTTTTGGAAACCAGAGAAAACTTGTTCAGGCATGTTCAAAATCATCGTATGAATGAAGATGAAGAAACAATTACCATTACAAACTCAACAAAAGACATGCGAGTTGAATTCTGGTAGTCCCCCAGCAACCTCAGGCGGTAAACCTACATCAGACAAGGTGTCCATTTATATGCATCCCCACATAGGGTTTGATGTAATAAATTGAAGAAACAGAACACCGTGTTTTCATCAAATAACAAACCTCCCCACAAACTGTTTCAAAAAAATTTAACATCAGCTTGAGTAATCTGCACAGAGTAAAATCATGCAATAACTGTAAAGGGCTCGGCCCCTTTATTGGCTATCAGAATTATTATTCATGGTCAACATTTCAAAATACAAAGAACTCCTCACCTTCTTGTCAATGTTTGTACAGTAGATAATTCTTGCACACATTTGACGTTCATCTTCATTCTGGAATCGTAAAATCAAATTACAAGTACTCAAATACAAAAAAAATTGCATAGGAGAGCAGAATATCATGCATCAAAGACTCAAGTTATCAACAAGTTTCAGTACAATAAGTTGCAGCAATGAGCCTCACCCTTGGCAAAAATGTTGGTTAACAGGTGCTATATCTGTTTTCGAAGGTAGCATCTTAACTGGGTAAAATCCAAGCATAGTCCCAGCCGGATTCAGAGCAGCTTGTGCACCTTCTGAACAGCCAAACCACCATGCAGTAAAGCATGTAAGTATCAAGCTTTATAGTTATACTCTCAATCCCCTAAATTGTGCATCAAATAACTATCTGAACATCACCTTCATAAGAAGCAATATTCATTGAGATACATTGCCTTGATGAAAACTGTTAAGACAAGCAAAGAACACCATATCACCAGCCCACAACTCACAAATAAACCTGCAAACTGCTCTTCAGTGACCTACACCACGACAAGCAAAAGACTGCATGAATCCAAATAACAAAGAGCGGAGATTGAATAAGTAATAGAAGCATCCTAACAAGCTCAGAATACTAACTATACATACCTGATGATCAATATCAGACACATAAACAGTTCTACGGATGATCTCATCTCTCTGGGCCATTCTTTTCCTGTTGTTTAGTCTCCTTTTACCTTGATTGAAAACTTTCTTCTGAGAAAATAACAAAATGAATGAACAAATCCATGAGATTAGATGATGCTCTCTTCTATAATTGAGATTATGTACGCTAGGAATTTGCTAATATTTGAGAAATGAACTTTGAAATTTCATACTTCCTGAAATATACATGAACTGAAACCTCTACTAAACAAAAGAAACACAAAAAAAATGCTTGATAACCCCAAACAAATCGATTTTATTCATTTTGTTCTCTACTATATATATATTTTTACTCCAAAATGATTAATGTTGGTAATTTAACAGTAAACAAAGCAACCAATCAATAAATGGGTTTTCAATGGCATACATGCCTAGCGGCACCATTTTCATTTAACAATAAACAAAGCAACCAATCAATAAAAGGCTATAACCTCGATTCCCAAATGTGAATTTTGTTATATTTGATATTCACTGAATTTTAAAAAAATACTTCAGTGCTCATATTTATCCAATGAAAAAGAACAGTCATATATAGAAAGCACATTCAAACAAGACATTATTCTGCAGGTTTCACAACTCCAAACCTATTAATCATTTCATGATATGGCATTAGCTTCTGCTTCCCATGATTAGAACTCTATGCCACATTGGAGCCTTTCAAATCGTTGAAGTAAATGCGATTTTTTTCTCGTAACCTTTGGACAATCTTCTTAAAGACAGTACAATTTTCAACGGAATGCCCCGTGACACCACCGTGATATTTATAATGTGTGTTCTCATCATACCACCTAGGGTATGGTGGTTTTAGAGGATCCACTGGATATGACAATATCATATACTTATCATAGAGTTGTTGAAATAACTCTTGATACATCATTAGAATATGGTCAAATTGCCTTGGAGGGCTCGATGATGTGGTTGTTGTTGACTTTGATCGAGAGGAAGTGACATTGTTGACCTCCTTTTCTTTATTCCTTGAGGATGACTTCTTATGGGATTCACTCCCATCTATCTTCTCTTGTTTGATGGACATTTCTACCATTTCATTGGCCATCAAAATGTCAGTGAAGCTCTTAAAAGTGATCACAACCAAGTGTCTGAAGAAGGGAGCTTTGAGAGTGCACAAAAACTTCCTTGTCTCCTTTTCGTCCAAGGGAGGATGAACTTGCACACCTACATCCTTTCATCGTTGCACATATTGTCAGAAACTCTCGTTGGTCTTATTCTCCATTTCTTGCAGCATTACACGATCTGACCTCATCTCGTTTATGTGCTTGTATTTCTTTATAAAAGACTTAGCAAGATTCTTCCAAGTTTGGATATGAGTCATGCTTAGTTGATTATACCATCGAATAGTTGAACCCAATAAACTCTCATGGAAGTAGTGGATCATGAGTTGGTCATTTCCCGTATGCCCTATTATCTTTCGGTAAAACATAGTCATATGGGCCGATAGGTAGTTATTTCTGTCAAATTTCTTAAAGTTTGGAATTTGAACTTCGACGACAACATGAGATCTGGGAACAAGCTCAACTTTAGGGCATCAACCTCATAGAAACATTCATTCCCTTTGACAGTTTTCATCTGTGTTAGGAAGTGAGTATAACAGAAAGTATACACAGGAAAGAATGTCCTGCCATTCATCTCAGCTGGTACATTACATTTATAAGAGAAGGTTAGGCTCTCATCAGCTGCCATTAACCGTCTAACAAACTAACAATCTTAACTAACCAACCTAAAAGATGAACTGCCTCCTCATGCACATGCTGCATTGATAGCAGTCTAACATTCCCTCTACTTCTGCTTCTTCTGACCTTGAACACACTATTACAACAAGCTCTAAAAAACTAATTACAACTAATTTCTAACATTCAACCTTCTTGATGAAAAGATGAACATTTGAATCGAAAGTGTTGATGCTTCCTTCCGTTCACTTGAATCAAAAGTGCCGATGCTTCTTTTCATTCTTCTTGAATCGAAAGTGTTGATGCTTTCTTCCATTCACTTGAATCGAAAGTGTCGATGCTTCCTTTCGTCCTTCTTATTCACCTTCATCTCTTTCTTCTTCATCCTCTTATAAAAGGATCCTTGACAGACTTTTTTTTAATCAAGAGTTAAGCTACACGAATCCATTTTTTCCTCCTGTTTGAGCTAATAAAGCCCACGTGTTTCAGAATAGTAACAGCTAGATATCAAGAAAAGGAAAAGAAAAAAAAATTAATACTACGCTTCACCATTTACCCATCAGGAAAATTCCATTGCCCTTCTAATTATACAAGACCATAAAAGAGGATCCAGAGGAAGTGTCTTCCGATTTCAGCATCAATTCTAAGCGGATGGCGTTCCAAATCGGTTACGGAGATCATCGATTCCTTTCTCAAATGACTTTGAAAGTTTAGAAATGAAAGTTTTGCAAACACGAGATGTAGTGGCTTCAAGAGCATCACAAATCTCCTTGACTTGTGTGATAAGAGACCTTATGCCCTTTTCTCCTTTGCTCATTGCACCGAGCTTACAATGGAGGCTCATCACAGTCATAGTGGATCGGTTAGCAAAAAACTTGAGAACCGTACACCAAACTGATGCTACCGGTTCAATACCTACAAACTAAGGAAGGAGATACGAACTAATCGTGGAAATGAGCCAATAAGCAAGAGAAATATCTTGTGCTACAAAAATTTCATGACCTTCATTCAAGATCTGATTTCCTGGTTCATCAAGAATAGTTTTCGGTTGTGGTTGAACTTCTCCGGTGATAAATCACTCTAACCGATGGCTCTGAACAGTCAACAACACTTGTTTCCAGATAAGAAAGTTAATCTCATCAAGTGCTATATTCATCTTCTTGTTGGTGAAGGTTTTTTCCAGATATTGAAAACTCCATATAGGGCTCTGATCAGCACAACCGATATTCATTAAAATGATGAGGAAAAACAAATCTAGAGATAGCAGCAGGAAAACAAGAAAAATGTCCCAGGAACTATGGCGATACCAGAAGAAGAAAAGAACAGAAGAAGAAGAAGTAGAAGTAGAGGGAATGTTAGCATAATCAGTCAGTGAGCATCAATGTGTGTGCTCTTACACTGCTCGTGTTCTAGAGCAAGCCATGTTCTAGAGCTTGTTGTATAGTGATTCTAGAAGACTGTTGTTAATGATTAGCTGAGGTTATTAATGTTTAGTTACAAAGTATGTTAAGACTATAACAACAATGTAGAGTTGTATGTAAGGAAAATAGAGATGTAGATCATAGATACAATTCATCTTCTCTATTCAATATACATGATTTCATTGTTTATCACTAGATACTCAACAATCTGGTCCTCTAACTGTTTATTTTCTCTTCCAATTGTTTGGACTTATCATCTTCATTAAAGTTCGGGATGTGGTACTCTTCTGGATTATTCAAAGGGTTCGTCACAAAATCTTATGGCTTCATTGTAGAAGATTTCCTCAGGTATCCTTGGAGACCTCCGAGTATGATTATCAGTTTCGGTGGTGGTTTCATAACTTTTTTAAATCCCCTTCCCAGGGGATTTTGTAAAATTCAGTTCTGCTAGTCTGGCCACGATTTGATCAACCAGGCTATTATGGTTTCTTACGATTATGTCCATGGTGCTTTTGTGGTTTTCTTCCATCTCCTTTTACAAATTAGTGAAGTTTTCTTCGATCTCTTTGAGCCTGACTTCAATTTTCTTTGATTAGAATCGAGTGTTATGCGGATGTGGTGGGCTATGTACCTTTTTCCCTTATGAATGAAATAATCTTTATTAGTCATTTAGGTTTTAATCATGAATACATAATGAAAAGTTAGTTGAATTAAAATATAAAATGCATGATGAACTCATTACGTTAATCTAAAAAGTGCATGTTATAATATAATAACCTTCATTGAGACAAAAGTGTTATTATAACGAGACCAAAATATTTTAGAGGTACATTCATGACAACTTCAGACTAGCTAACAAGTCTTTTTGCTTCACTGATAACTAGTTAGACACCCTATCTCACAACCCAACTTAAGTGCAATCTGTTTTATAAAACCTATCTAAGAAT